TCCATTTACTGGGCACTGCGTTTCAAAGAAGAAGGGTCCTATGATAAATGAACCCGTGAAACCACACCATGCTGTCAGTTTTGGGGAATGCAATGGCTTCTGTGTGTACTCACGTGGATTAGAGGTTGCCCAAGTGCGACAGTTATGGTTGTTAACGTCACCATGAAGCGAGAAATGAGCTTCATCTGTCCACAAGATGTTAAAAACCCAGGTAGGATCTTGTTCCATTTTAGAGAAGGCCCACTTCGCAAATGCTTCCCTCTGTGCGGTATCTGCTGGCAAAAGTTCATGGCACGATTGCAATTTGTATGGGTACAGCTGGAGGATTCGACGAAGAATATTGCGGACAGATGATGGTGGTAAGCCCAAACGTCTGGCAGCTTCACGAGCACTGCTGGTCCCTAAAGCTGTTTCGGACGCAATCGCTTCCATTCCGACAGCAATGCAGGGTGCACGTGCTTCTTTCAAGCATGGTCGTCCGGCTTGTGCTCAATCCTCCAACTTTCCAGTTTCCTCAAAACGTTTAACAAGCTTTAAGAGACCTGCAGGTGTTAAAGGGCCTTTTCTACTCTTCACATTTTTCTGAACTCGGAATTTACGCAAGGCATTGGTCGCTGATTCCTCGTTCATGTAAAATAACTTCACCAACAAAGCTTTATCCGGCGCTCTGAGCATCCTTGTTCACATTTACTGTTTGTAATGGTGAAATGAATGTGGATTCAATGAGAGCAAAGGTTTTTATAGCCGTCTAATTTGCATATTTCCACCACAGACGCTTGTAACAGCGCCACCAACCGGATGATTTTCGAATTATTTTTTTTCTAGCTTAAAAAAAATCCCGTGACATACTAATGCTGATCCTGCAAACAGTTTTTTTTTTTCGTTCATTTTTCCGGATTTTATGAATTTTTAAAGTTTTTACGGACTTTTTGCCCACCCGGTATATTATATAAAGAGAACATCAAACATCAGCTTTAGTTCTCGTAGCTCAACTCATTTTTCTTCCGATATTATATATTAAATAAAAAAAAATAAAATTAATATCCACTTAACAAAAAAGTTTTTAAAGTGAAAATAATTTATATCTTATCATATCATAATTTTTCTCAAGTATTTTTTTAAAATTTTGTTTGTTTTTCAACTTTGGCTTAAAATATATATAAGGGATACATTCCCCATGAGAATCAAACTCTATGAATATCTGTAGCGCACACACACACTATCAAATATTTTTAGTGGTGTTCACATTATATTAATGACAGAATATTTAGATAAAATGTTGATTTGTGCATTACACACTCTATTTTATGTTCCATTAATGACTTATATAAAATAAATTGTATAAAATTATATTTCATCTTATTGTAACCAACCGATTTGAATGATACTTTTCAAATATCCTTAAAACTCTGAAACAAATATTTCTATAACAATTCGAAATTCTTATTTTTTAAAAAAATGTAAGGTATAGCATGTAATTACTACCAAGAGTTTATATTTTTTAATAAATTAAAAATCACATTTAAGATCCTACTGATTCTTTAGCGCCTTTACTACATCGATACTTTTCAGGATTTTGTTGCAAAAAGCCAATATTTACAGATTATTTACTATAGGTGTTATACAAATATATATATTACAAAGTTCATATTTATATAACATCTATAAAAATAAGAACGAATATATTTATATATGAACATTTGCGAATTTCATTGTAGCTACTGAAATATGACAAGCAAACAAACTGCGAGATAATTCGTAGCCGGCGTCTTTGGCAATAGCGCAAACAATGAGTTATCGCGTAGTTGGCAGTTAACGTGTTAAAAACACATACGCCGTATTTATACGAATCTAAGCCTCCATCGATTCTAAGCCGCCACCCAAATTATCAACATATTTTTGTGAAAAAATTAAAAAAGATGTAAAAAGGTTAATCGGCATCCGACGTATATGAAATTTACAAAAAAAAAAAATAAATAAATAAATAAAAAATAATGAGAACTAATAAGAAGGGAATAATTAATTTATTTTATCAGCATTAAAAACTTTTTAATGCATACATGAACCTGTGATTGCTCTGATCGTCAGAGTATTATGTTCAATTTTTTCCATCCAGCGAATTTTTCCACCTTCTACTCTAAGCCCTACCCGATTTTCAGTAGCATTTACAATGGAAAATAAGCGTGACTAGATTCGAATAAATATGGCGTATAACTTTATTTTTATAATATGCTACTGCTGAGAGAGAGAGAGAGAGAGATTAGGTTATTTTATAACTTCATGCAGAGGCATATATTATGATTTTCAGAATGTATACTGCAAAGCGAATTCGGTCTTTACTGATATCCGTGATCCATATATATAAGAAGCTGCAAACGGAAACTTACGTGCTGGTCATAGGTTTTGCTGTGAATGACATTCAAAATAATATGCTTGGAAATATATGGAAATCTATACGCTTAGGATATAATGCCAATGCTCGTATTGGTTCGTTTGAAAACATAACACATAGAAATATGCGTGGCATCCATTTTTAATTCTAGCTTTAAACACATTTCAAATATATCTTAACAACCAACTCTTAAACGCAGTAACTAAGTAGTGTCAACTTTGGTTTTTGTTGCCAATGATTTTCTTAAGTGATGTTACGTATTTGAATAAACATTTCATTAAAAACCTCGTTGGTGGATTAACAGGAGTAACTACGCGTTAAACTGAGTTGGACCTAAGAGTCCTCACATGATAAGTTATAAAAGTTTGAAAAATGAGATTCCAACCCCTGCATAGTCCCCGCCACTTAAACTTGATTCAAAATTATGAGGAGTGCTAAATTACGAATAACCTTCGCTAAAATACCAAAACTTCGCATGGTTTTTATATCAAAATTACAAATTTACTCAAGCGCAGTTTTTCCGAACACAGGTATTTTGGAGAAATAAAAAAATTAGCTCCCTCTAAAATTCATTGAAAATTGACCAAGTATTTCTTTCAACAACCCAGTAAACTAATACACTAGTTGTTTTTTCATATATGCGAATGTAAAATATTACAGACTGTATTTATATAGAAAATTGATCGTCAAATATAAAATCCTTGTATTGATTTTAAAGAGATTTCGTATTTTACTTTTAATATATTAATACATAGACGTGTATTAAATAAGATAATTTTTCAATAGTTTTAGCTAAATCATTTGTAGAATTTCTTTAATATGATCAGAGGATAGTGTGATAATTTCAAATACACTTAGAATTCAAGAAGAGATTGCTTTTATAAGTCAAACCAAACAGAGTATTATTTTCTCATATTCGTAAAAAGAAAAAAATAAACATCAAATTTCATTTAATTAGGATTGATTCGAAAAAAATTTTTAAAAAAGAAGAGGAATCTTAATGAAAACCACAATTCAGACTTTAATAAGAATTTTCCGACTTTCTAAATTACAAAGGGAAAGGGAATAAGTTGTTTAAATGCATTAAAATTTTAAAAGAAATACAAAATTCCATAAATTATAAGTTCATTCATATAAAATTACACGAATAGAGATCAAAAGGCTTTTAAGCCACAATCTCTTTCGATACATGTTTATATATATATTAATAATTTAAGAATAAGAAAACCTATCTGTTATTTGAAATTTTTTGACTTCTGCTTTTATAAATATATAAGAAACTTTTTTTATTTAGTTATCCATATGTTCAAATATGTAATTCAGTTTCCAATGAACAATTGCTGAATTCCAAACTGTTTTGTTTTATTTTTAATCCTTTTATCCCACTGGCAAGATTTTAAAATAAAAAAGAACTGTTTTCTTTGCAGCTAAATTATCATGTTCTGTGTTAATGCTGCAGAACTAGAAACCGATTAAACTACAGAGGATGAAAAAGTTGAACGACCATGCCTTTCAACTAAGGCCTCGCATTTGTTTCGCTTGGCTTACATACCGTGAATTTTTAAATAAATTCTACTTAAAATGCATACTTCTATTCTTTAAGTTGTGTTCGTAAAATTAAAATCTGTAAAATATTCATAACAATTTTTGATGATTTATTTTTTTCAGTATCAAAATAAGAAGATACATTTAAAATAGTTGTTAAATTATCCCTAAGTCTTTACAGAAATCTGTTATTTTTCCTACAAACAGTGAGGAAAAATTTATAAACAATACGTCATTCTTGAATTATAGCAAATTGTTAACAGAGTTTTTAGTCTGAAACGGTCATATCAATTTCATAAATGAAACATTCGCAGAAATAATAAAAAAAGAAACTGTGCTATTAAGAAACAAGTAGTTTATTTCAATGATGCCCGAATTGTTTGTCTATAAGCAAATGAATAAATTTTGTAAATGCCTAAAGCGCAGATTTATGCTTACAGATTGAAATTAATTTATAAGTACATATGAATACAAACACACACAGAATTTAAAAGTATAAAAATTTAATAAGTATTTTATTCTTTTAGTAATGAGTAAGAATACAATTGTAGAAATAAATTACTTAAGTAGGATCAAATTAAATGCAAATAAATAAATATATAAGGGCAAATAAAATGATAAAATATCTAAATCTACTTTTCAAAGCAGTAAATTACCTATACTTTTTTTTTTAAAAAAAAAAGAGTGAATTTAAGCTTTTTTCTAATAAAATAATTTTGATGTTTTTTTCTTTCTTTCTTTTTTTTTATTATGAGTTTTTTTCAGGAGAAACAAGTAATATAAAAAAAAATTAAGTCAATTCTTACTTAGGTCAACAAAGAAACATTTTATTTTAGTTACTTTTTATTAAATAGCTATAATTAATATAAATATGTATATGCATATGAAAAAATCACAATATAAGTGACAAAATAGAAAGCAACTTTCCCTTTACCTTTCTATATATGGTGTTGGACTATTTTTTGTTTGTTTCTTTTTGTTACTATTTATATTCATTCATTAAATTTAATTATTCTAATAAAATAGCATAGTAAAAAAGAAATCATATTCTCAGAAATTAGGCCATCCCAAATGGAATTCGAAGCCATGACGTTTAAATTAGAAGTCCAACGCGTTATCCATTGCGCTACAGGGACACAACGATTAATTTTCCTTTCTACATATGCTGCTGGTCTATTACTTTTGTTTGTTACTATTTATTCAAAAACTAAAGCATTAATATTTGAAAAAACTGTATTAAAATCAAGTGTCATCCATTACAGGTTTTAAAAAATGTATTTGAACTTGAGTGGATGAATAGAAAATAGTTTATTAACGATTGAAAATTTGAACAAGATATATATATAAATATATGCAATCGAGAGAGATGGAACAGAGCAACCAGCGTCATTTTTTTTAACTGACTATAGATTTAAGAATCTCAAATACACATATGGAATTCAGAAAAGCAAGAATATCAGGATTAAAATATTTTTATTACGCTCATTTTATCACGCATTTCTGAATACTATCCCTTAATGCTAATCAATCTCTTGACTAAATGAAGCGTTCTTAACAACTCAGCACTACAGATAAATTACTATTAAGAAACACGAATAAAAAACATTCTACTTTTCTCTTCGAACAGAGCTGTAGATTTACAGTTATTATTATAAACTTTTGGTTGGAGATGTAACTATTGGGTTGTTCGGAAAGTAATTTCGTTTTTTCCCGACAGAAGATTTAATTGTATTTTTTTGCACCCAACTTCACATTTAAGCCGTATAATTTTATATGCTTTGAGAGCTCATATAGCAAGGCTTGTGTGTGAAAAATTCCAGTTAATTCTACGCAGTAGTTTTTGGTTGGTGCCCTATTAAATATGGAGAGCGATAAGCAGCATTTTCGACATATCTTACTGTTTTACCGCAGAAAGGGTAAAAATACTGTTCAAGCCAGAAAGAAATTGACCGATGTGTATGGAGAAGGTGTGTTGACAGTACGCCAGTGCCAGAACTGGTTCGCTAAATTTCGATCCGGTATTCACCAAATCCGATCCGATATTCACCAAAAAAGGTGATGCTGTCTGTTTGGAGGAATTTTAAAGAATCGGGTTTTTTTTTTTTTTTTTTGTTTTTTAGCTTTTACCGGATATTACAACGATTAATTCGGAAGTCTACTGTCATCAGCTGGACAAACTGAATGATGAACTTCAGCAGAAAAGGTCAGAACTAATCAACAGGAAGGCGTAGTGTTTCACGAAGACAACGCGAGACCTCACACAAGTTTGGTCACTCGCCAAAAGCTTTTACAGCTTAAATGGGATACAATGCCACACCCACCATATTCTCCAGACCTGGCACCACCGGATTATTATTTGTTCCGATTACTCCAAAATTTTTTAGATGGTAAAACCTTCACCTCAAATGAGGAAGTCAAAAACCACCTCGATCAGTTTTTTGCCAGCAAAGACCAAAAATTTTATGAGCGTGGAATTATGCTACTACCAGAAAGATGGCAAAAGGTGTTGAACCAGAACGGCCAATAAATAATTTAATAAAGTATTTGTTTATTATACGAAAACTGTCTTTCATTTCCTCAAAAAAAAAAAAAAACGAAATTACTTTCCGAACAACCTAATATTTATAACATCTTAGTAACTATTTAACCCTTTAGTAACATTGTTTCTACAATTTTATTTTATTTAAATTAAATAAGATTGAATAGGTGGAACAGTTTTTTTTCGTCGCATTAACTCTATTTCATGGAATATTGACTTTGAAATGGAAGAGAACCAGCCTCGGAAGAGTGATTACTGCTTTAGTATCAACCGAGTTAAAGAGTAGATTACCTTCTCAAGCGATTCTTCAAGTGAAACTGGCATGTTTGTTAAACATGTGAGAGTTTTACCCAGTCTACGCTATCGTATAAACAACTGCACGGAGAAATAGTTTCGTCAAGCGAATGACTCTTCCTACTTTCGTAAACTTCTTTCTTTGATAAAAAAAAAAGAAAGAAAAAAGAAAAGAGTAAAATCTTCAAACCACTAGAAATTTAAGTTTGTGTTTGTTTGTCTGATGTTCCTTACCATTAAATGTTTAAAACTTAACTTTCTTTATTCAAAAGAAAGCTACCTATTATTTAAATTTAATTGAAAATTTGATTTAATTATAAAATTCAGTAATCGAATAAAAAAGCAGAAATAATTATTCAGCTGAACTTTAAAATTAATAAATTTACATTTAATTCAATTACAATTTTATATTTTCAAATAAGGCTTAATTTTAAAAGAAGCCTAAAAAACATTGAAAATTATAAAGAGATTAATTACTTTTAAAATACTAGTTTAATAATAACTCAGAGTATGTAAATAGTTCTATAGCTAAATTATTTTCCATTTGTCCAAAACTATAGAATACAAAGAGTTAATTGTTATTCACGAGGAATAGTTAAAAACTAATAAAATATAAAAAGTCTATTCTTTTTCTTTTAAATGACCCAAAAAAGAAAATACATAGAAGATTTTGAAATCAACAATAAAAAAAATATGGAATTTCATATGAAGATATTCTTGACTTTATAGGGTTATACCTCTCTCCATTTTGACTAACCCTTTGCAGTGTTAATCTTTCTAGCAATGGTACCTTACAATATTTTTGGGAACGAGATTGATTTAAGAAAAGGGAATTATTTTGATTTTAAGGCCTTTTTGTGTAGTGGAAATGTGTTTTCAACAACCCTCTGTGTACTATTGAAAGTATATATATGTATAAAGAATAGTGAATTAGAAAAATATTTTATATTCTTAGATGATGACGAGGATTCTACATGTAATTTTCCAAGAAATTTAGGAAAACAGAGGTCACTACACATACATAGTAAAAACAACAAATTTATGAAATATATATATATATATATATATATATATATATATATATATATATATATGTGTGTGTGTGTGTGTGTGTGTTTCGGACATACTACAATATGCAGCATTAATTGTAAATTTAACATAGGAAGATGACTGATAAAAAGATTAGATTGATGAATATGGTGGTAAGTATGTTTACCATGGCCTGATAAATGGTTACGTATCTATGATAAACAAAAATGAATCTCCTCCAAATGGACCAGCATAATCAAAAAAAAAATGCAAAATTCGAAGCGTTTTTAATCTGTTCAACTCAGTTTCTACGCATTCTTTTAAAGTTTAAAGCACTATGTTTAAAAATTATAGATAAAGTACACTCCTTAAAATCCAAATCTGCTTCATAGATTTAATTGCCTAGCTCTTCGGAAAAACACATTTGAATATTTTGATAAAAGTTCCTTAAGTTTTATATAAATTTGCACCTCATACTTGATTGAAAATGCCTTGCTTGTTCAATTTAACCTTATATATACATATAATCACAACCAAAAGCTGGATCATAAGTTCCGTTACATTGCCGTTCCTATTACGTTTATTGGTTATTGTATAGTACAATAACCATACATTTCCTAATACTGCTATTGCTTCACGATTATAAGTAAATAACTGTAAATTACAAGGAACAATTTCATCCCTATTATTCAGTTTTTTATAAATGTGGCTAGAAATAACGAGTTTGTAAATTAACCCTGTATGAATTCCCATGTTTAAAACCCTATTTCCATTTCTTAATAGAACAACAATTTTGCGGGTAGGATCAGAGGGAGAATTCTGACATGTAAAATAGGCCATACAATCTCAAAATTTCATTTTCATTCATAAACTTTTAACACTATCAGCTTCGCCAGACAAATGTTCATCTATAAATTCATTTCTTTCTTTCATGGTTATGTAGACATTTACCTGAAGAAATTTATCTTGTTTACCACTTAACAAGCTATACTGATATGTCTTTTTAAAAAATTATAAGTATGAAAAACAACGCAAATTAACCTATTATTTGATATACTATGATTTAACTTATTACAGTGAATACAAGTATATTTCTTTCTAGGTTGCGCATGCTTATTTCAATGCTATTTTAAGATATATTCTTTTAGTGAGGTAAAATATACCAAAGATATATCGTCTAGTTTTAATGCGAAGTTGTTTTTACTCTGACTTATGTTAACAAACAAGTTGTTTTCAACTCAATCTAAGACAGTGAAAATATATCCCTATTTTTTTAAAAACCAGCTATTTCTTTATTAAGATAAAAATGCGACACATTTTCAGTAGGTGAATCGAACAAACTTAAAGTTTGCATTTATAACGATTTCATGAAATATTTTTGAAAGTTATAGTATCAGGTCTACAGATTATAAACTATTAATTTTTAAATTAATGTATAGGTTAAATAATTGCATAACTTAATCAAAATCTTATTATTAAACTGATATTATCCCAGAAAAACATATACAAAATAGTAAGTAAAAAGGAAATTTATGCTAAAATTTGCTAAATATTTTGTAGGGAAATTTTTTTTTAATAATATGTAGAAAATTAAGTTTTATGATCGATTTTAAATCAATGGATAAAACAAATGATGAATAAAGCTTTATGTATATAAACACAAACACTATAATTTAATGAACTCCACTTCGGATTATAAACAGCCGGTAGAAAGTAACCAAGCCCTTAAACCTGATTTAATCCCGTTAAAATCAGTCCTCAGCCTCCTATGTTTATTATATGCATACTGAATTTTTGAAGTTCCCTTCTGTTTTAATGCTTTTGATTTTCTCTTTTAATATAAGATGTACTTCTTTCAATTATTTCTGATCCTGATTTCAAGATTAGTAAAAATGTACACCTTTTGAAATTACTTTTTAAATACACACACACATTTTAAATTCTTTTTAAATACACTTTTTATATACACGACTTTATCGAAATATGAGAAAAATAATAATTGCGATTATTATGTACAAGAGCATTAATATTTTTATAAAAGAAATATGTAAGAAAAATTTAAAGGGATTAAATAAACGAAAATATAAAAATTAAACATGTAATGATCCCTAAGGACCTCACTTTGAGAACTAGGATAATTAGGAGACGTAAATGAACCAGTAGCCATTTTTATAAATAACTTTCTTTATTTAGATATCTTTCCCAAATAGAATCAAAGACTTATTAACAACGACAAGACGAATATTGTGAGGTTTTAATTATAATAATCTTTAA